TTAATGACAAGGAAATTGTAAGGTTGCACAATGATAAGCTTAAATTATATTAAATGCATACACTAATTTTTGTTGGCTTCAAAGCACGTCTTTAATATTCTCATAAGTTCGGATGTAAAATGGCACATAATTTGGCTGAGGGAAACATTAATTGTAGTTAACGTTACCATTTTAACGAATCGGATATTATATGAAGTGCAAATAAATTGTTTCTTTCAAGAATTAAAATTATACAGAATCCATTTTAATACTTAGGCTGCAATAAGACGTAATGGGCATGCACGTAATACTGATCCAGGTCCCCTTCTTAAGGAGACAGTCTCGTGGGAACTGGTCAGTCCGCTTGCAGCTGTTGCGTTATCAAAACGCGAGTGTCACAGGCACGCAGTCTGGTTTCATTGCTGTTCCTGCTCCATTAGCATGTGTTTTCCGCGCCTCATTATAAAAACATGATTTCTAATTGGCCACAGACGGTCATTTTCTGCGCTGCAAAAATTCCGGTCATAGAAATCATAAATGGTGATTTTAGGAGCATATGGATAGGGTACGTATGCTCTTAAGATAAACATCTATTCATTCGTACGCATTCATACGTTCATTCCTATGCAAAATTTGCTATCATTGCCTCAATACTTACATCTTTTGTTTTTAATTGTAGCATTTGGTACTTTTCCATCTTTCGCTCAGTCAAATCGGTCAACACACATTTTTATGTTGTGAGGTGGAAAAGCAGGCCTTATGGCCGATCTATCTTAACCACTGTAATTACAAGAACAAAATGTATAAGTTTGTAATATTTTTAGTTTATATGTCGGCGATTTTCCAGACCACATTACTAGGTTTGTTAGTGAGCAGTTGTCTTCCATGAATAGTATGAGAAAAGTTCACAGAATCCTGTGATGTCTCTATAGTACTTGCTATAACTCAAAATTACGCGTAAACTACAAATATTAAATGTATTTATTTAAAATTATTATTGAAGATTAGATTGTATTAACACTATTCTAATAGTAATTTTGTCCGAGGGTGTCGAAAAAATTTTAACTTACCCTTTTTTTAATTCGAAGAATTTTAATAAAAATTATTCATATTCAATAGTTCCAGTGAAGTTTGATCTGTTCGAGCAAAAAATAATTGTAGCCGTTATTGAGATAAGATTGTTTACATTAGTTTCTCACTCTCTTCTGTTAAAAATTTCGTGAAAACAAAATAATGTTGTAGGAAGGGCCTAAAAGTCTAAATGTTTTAATCATCTTGCAATTGAAAGGTTTAAATTAGAATAGTAACTATGCATTTTTATTCGCCTACTACATAATATTCCGACAAAAAAATTAAAGAAAAAGATTTGAGCAATTTTTAAGAAAATATCTTGCGGTGTTCATGTAAAATATCCCAAAAAATTAAAAGCTTCGTTTCAAATTTGCAGAGCCTCGAGTTAAGGCAGATCGATTGGGAATTATTCATTTTGAATAACATTCTGTAACCGTTAAGGAAATAGTCTTCTTCACATAGAGAGAGAAGTGGGAGTAATGGAATGAGGAAGGGGCAGAGATCCCTGAAACGCATGTTTCCGTCAAAATCTGTTCGTCCACTTTCTGCAACATTTACATAATTTTATCTGTACTAGTTTCTCTATTCTCCCTTTATACTACGTGAACAAGATTTAAAAGTTGCCCACATTTTAGCTTTCTTTGAAAGACATTGAGTAATTCGACTTGAAACTGTGATCTGAAGGACTTTGTGAATTCTGAAGAATTCTTTTGAAACATATGTTGCAACCTCTTTTACTCTTTTAGGAAAGAAATTTTCTTCAAACTCCTATTATACAAACTTCATATTATACAATTTACATTTCACCTTAAGATCCCATGATACAGTGCAGAGAGTTTGAAGCACAAACACATTTTACGTCGTGAAATACTTTCCTAGCAATGACGTAACTGTAAAATTCTCAAATCCTTAAATCCCTTAAGCAAAAATAGAAGTGTTCCCCTCTCTGAAAATGTTTATTGTAGTTTTTATCGCGAGGACTTAGTATAAACATGGCAACATATGAGTAAAAACGTTTATTTCTTTAATCCGCTTTCTGCAGAATGCATGACTACACAGTTCTCTCAACTTTACCTAGTCTCGTACGGTAAACGACTTATTTGAACTTCCTGGCATTATGTGCACGTTGCTGAATCATTGAAAAGTTACTTTTCATTGTTCGATTCATGTTAGTGCTTTGCAAGCGGTGAACACAGCTAATACAAGCTGTCATTACTTCTGTTACCTCGTAAATCGTATCCAGTGAATTAAGTTTCACTGCGTTGTTTACACAGTCAGTTACAAAGGTACTATGATTTGTTGTTCCAAGTGTCAACTATTATTCCACAACATTCCCCTTTCAAGTGTACTTCCAAAAGTAGAACACATAACACATAATGACACTAATACTTCCAGGCTTTGGCCAATTTGTACACGATATGAGTAATGTCAATTTGGCTCATTACTGCATTAGTATAACATAATTATTATGCATGCATTATATGCATGGTAGCGATGGGTGATCTAATAAGTATTAGTTTCTGATCAGCCTGTGACAAAAAATGCCAATGAAATGAGATCCAAACACCATGACAGTCATGTCACATAATTCTCAGTTAACATACCCACACTAGATATCAATTTCACAACAGTAACCTTTTAGTGAAGAAAACATGGTCACACTAGAAAAGTTAATGACAGAAAATAACTACGTTGTACTAAAATATAAAACTCACTAGTGACTGAAGGCAGTGGAGAAAGGCTAAAGCAGGAGATTTTATTACTTCAGGAAGCCGATGATTAAAATTGAATTGTAAAATAATTAGGACCATATCATTCCATTGCCAGCTCGACCTACGTCACACAAAATGTGGAAGCGGAGAGCAATTCCGCACAAGCATGAAAACTTTCAAATATCGAAAACCACTCTCAATCGACTCTCTTCGACTGTTCGCTCTTTCTTTCGAATAAAGCATTAAGCTGAAGGATTCATCATGCATATGACAGGATATTAGCGGCTCGAGTATGCACTTTTCGCTAAATTCCGCTTCGCTTCGTGAGTCCACAAGTCAGCGTTTTCCCACATCGCCTCAGAAGACAGGGTGAGAGTTGCAATGAGCACAACATGGAGCAGCCACATGGGGAACAGTGGTTTAATTGACGATAAAATCGCGCATTTCCGCGCAGATACTTTAACAAGCGACCCGCGAACCAAGTATCCGGCCTCATAACCGATAAATACGATCGCGAGAACTTTCTTGGTTACTAAAGAGGGCCGACCGCCTTCACAGGCACGATTGGAGACTGCCGCCCCTCCGGCCGGCGACGGGTCTACGTGTCCTGTTGCTACTTCTGGTTTCCACGTGACTTTTGTGCTAATTGTAACGTAGAATTGAATGATGCGGTAAAGTATTTATAAATGATTGTTCATCATTTTATGATTCCTAACGTCAGTGTTGAAGCTAGACCTCGTTGACTGTGATTGCAACTATGGTAAACTACAGCAAAATGAGTTTCCATCCACAGTCCCTTTCTAGTCGTTATGCTGATAAAATGAATGGGTCTCTAATTTAATATTGCTTTGTTCTTGGAACATTGGCAATGCCCTCAATGCAACGTTTTATAAACGTGAGTGGAATGTTCGTGAACATTAATACATTAAAGAAATGAAAGTGAATGTCGTAGTGAATACAATCATGCTTTCACTAATGATTGGTGTATTTTCAAGTTTATAAGACATTGGATATTAGAGAGTACATGATTTATTAGGTTCCATTTGCTGAGGGAGGCTTGAATGATAAAGACCATAGAAAATAGAAAATTTAAATAATACATTAACCCAAGCAGAATAACAAAGGTAACAAAGCTGAGATTAAGCGTTTGTTGATCTTTACGTCCAAAGGATGGAATGGATTTGAACATCATTTTAACTGATTCTTACTACATTTTTGTCGAAACTAGCTATTCTTTTTAGGGATATCTCTCAGAAGGAGCTTCGCCACGTTAAATAAGGTATCATTGAATTGAAATGAATTTCCATTTCGGGCGTGTACTGTAGTCCCCCTACAGACTTTCAGCCTTTCTGGTCGAAGTTATTGCAAATTTCCTTCTTTATAAACACCTAAAAAGCAGTTTACAAATCAATAGCCTCTCTGTCGACCTTTTTACAACATACCTTTTCACATATAGCAGTTTGTTTCTTCGAGGTTAAGTACGGTGCTTCAAAGAACACCGAAGTCGTTCACGCCTAAGTAGGTTATACCCACAGACCGAGTTAGTAAACGGCATCGAGCGGCGCTCCGACCGCGGAGCTTACTGCGATTTGCTGCTTTCCGCTGCACTCAGTCGCTTTCAAGCGCTAATAACATGGTCCGACTCGCGCGAAGTCGTACATTTTGGGAGCCCATGCACACCTTCCATCTCGCGTTTACTAAGTTCTCACTCTTTTTATTTCGGAGAACATAAAACCAAAGGAATTTACTTTAACAAGAAAATAGTTTATCTGAAAAGCAAATTGGATATTGGAAAATACTGCAAAGAATTCTTCCAGATTTTGCTTAGCTATTTTCAATGGACATTGAAAGTCACAGAAAAAGGTTAGTTCAATAGGATTAATGACTAGAGAACTGATGTTATTAGGTGTAAAAATGTCTAGCGGGTTTTTGTCACGAAAGAGGACGATGAAGATATTGAAATGGTATATTTGAATAGCCTGAAATGTAAAAATAAAAAATTATTATAGTAAAAGGAAAACTATAAAATGGAAGCAAAACTGAAGGATTTAATAAAAAAATAATTGAGAGAGAAAATATCAAACGTTTGATTAAATTTCTGTCAAAGAAGATCCTGCAATAAATTTCCTTGCCGGTTCGCTAGACAATGATATCTTCGGATAATATAAACTGAATGTTATAATTTTATATTCATTCTGTTAATTATTCACAAGTTAAAAAGTGGTGAAATAGTTTTACGTTCATATGAAAATCCATTTTGTGAAAACGTTCACCTAAAACTATGCGCAATCGTTGTGGGAAGTGTCGATAATGAATGTTCGTTCTTCTCAGCAGGATGCAGCTGCGAGCATGTAAAGCGCTGATGTCCGGCCGACCAGTGGCAACATCCTCGAGCCGCCGCGCCGCGCCGCGCCGCTGGTGCGGTCAGCGCGACCCCTCGCCACCTCTCTCCTCTCCCGGAAGAGCTAATGCCAGGACCGGGAACGCTGCACAGTGCACGCTGCACTCCAATCCAAGTGAAGCAGCTTCAACTCACAAGCATAGAAGTAATACCCCGTATAACATCCCGTGTAAGGCAAGGTCCTCCTACTTTTCAGCAGGGTGGTTTAAGATTAATCTAAGGTTATTTATTGATCTTTACGATTGAGTGATTTTTCCCCTTGAAATTGAAACCTAAAATCTTTCTTTTGGCACATTTTTTATCTTTTTCTCTTCTTAATGTTATTTTCCATAGGATATACTTAAACGTACACACTCTCACTTATCACTTTAACAGTTTAGCTCTTCTTGTCCAATTGCTTTCCAACTTTAACGTAACACTTTTACTTATTAGTGTGAATTTTCCTCGTTCTTCTATTTCTGGTTGTTCTTGTCCATAAAATTCCTACTTCACGTTTTATTTATTCTTCTCAATGAGTCTTCTGTTTTCCAAGTTTTCTTGTACCTCTTTGACCCCATACTGTAACTCCCCCTATCGTTGAGTCTTGCTACATGACCGGCACATCTCCATTTCATTAATGCGGATAGATAAACTATATTCATTAAATTATATTCAATAGATTTTTATTTTTACAGAAAACGTAAATTTAGAAAACATGTCCCTCCCAGAGCGATGTAAAAGCGTAGAACTTGTTTCTTTAAACTTGACGCACACATTGTATTTCATTATATTAATTCTTTGTTCAGTATACTACGTATGACATTTACGCAGCTCCACACTTTTAGTTTACGTTGCCCTGTTTTTTTATGCTACTAATGGAACACATTATATTGTTACCATATATTTCGAACCACTACATCAAAAGATAAACTTGTTATTGAGAAAACGAATATGAGTAGTCAATTTCAAAACCAACTAATCATTAGTTCAGTGTAAACATGTTTTGGTATGGTGATTAATTCGTTGTAAAATGTATTTATTATGAATCCGCTTGTTATCAAGTTTTTCAGATTAATACTCACATACCCACCTTATTGCTCATACTATGTCACATCATACGCATAGTTGCCTCGCACGGTCCGGGGCTTCTGACAGAATAGAACTTCCAATTCATAAATGATGGAAATTCACACAAAACTATTTTACATATGCAGTTTGAAATAATACCTGTTATATAATGATGAAAGTTGTTTCGGAAAACCTTTTATTATTCCCTCGCGGCAGACTGGGACGTGGCTTGCGCTACCTAGCTCACAGCCCACCGACTATCAGAGAGAAGATAGATTTTACTCGAAAGCTTTCATATCAAGGGGAATGAACAGGTACCCAATGAAATGGATTTTACTGAATGTCAAAGTTCTAAATAGAGAACGACTGTGATTAGTTTTCTTTGGTTCGGATTATCTAAGCTCGTGTTATACAAAATTTTGAAATGACCAAAAATTATGTCAAAATGGTACAATTAAAACAATTTAGCATTACCATGGTATTACAGTTCTACGTCATTGATTCATAGTTTACCATAAACATAAAATCACGGCTTATTAAACTAAAATATTATATCTGAAAAATATGTGAATTTACTAAGAAATATTTCGTATGTGACTTCAAACCTTTATTTTGGAACTAACGTTTCATTGCAAATTTCTCATTGTATTACTTTAATATGACTTTCCCAAATTTGATGTATATAGATTCATGAAGCACGCGCATGAAGAATGGCATGAAGACGGCATGAAGAACGCTCTCACAAAAATAATTAGTCTACGTTAAAAGTATGTCGTTTAGAAAGTAAAAACTTGGAACAAGAAGATAAAGAATATAATGGTTCATTAACTAAGCTGTATGTATATCCGAGATCCATAATGTGATTTGTAGGCATTTTAGGAACCCAAGCACACATGAGAATCATGGGTCCGCTAACTCTCCTCTCGAGAGTCGTTTATTAATGAAAGGGGCAATTAAATAGGCGAGGCCGACACCAAGCACGCATTGATAACATTGTCCGAAAATTAACCTGTGCCGTTCCTACCTGTCTTACTGTCTTATTGCCCAAGCCACCTCTCTCTCTCTCTCTCTCTCTCTCTCTCTCTCTCACACACACACACACACACACACACATACACACACACACACTCACACACACACACACACACACACGCGTGAGTGGGATTGGGACCTTGAAAGCACTGACGAGGAATTGGAAACTTCCATTCGGTTGCCCAGTGCCTTAGTGGCACATCGGTCGTCTTAAATAGGCACAGTGAGAAAGACAGGTAGAAGCCTTGTGCCCTCTGGGTTGCTCAGCCATAGTAAACTTCAATTGAGACTCGAAATCGACTGCTGGGAACCCATTTGATTTTGTCATTTATCTCATGTTGTCCCCTTCTGCGGCTCTAATTTCTTTAAATTCAATATTTTTTATTTTTCAAGATCATTTGTTCTCTCTGTCATATTACTCAACGAAAGTCTTATCCAATATATTTCTACACCAACATTTTATTTTATGTCAAAGAACACAGTAAAAACTGAAACCACGTAAGTAATTCACAAAAAATATGTACCCCCGGATATATTTAAATTGGCCATGAAAAGTGTTCAATGCAAATTTAAATAACCATGTAATATTTTTACGAAACTATTAAATTGACATATAACGTTGTCGTCGCAACCTCCGCTGCCTCTTCGTCTAATTGCTGTTTCTTCTATTTTCTTTGAAAGCAACTGCCGCCATAAGAAACTTATTTTGTTTTCAATTTGTTCTCCTTCGAAGCTCTCTTCACCTAGGATTTGTATTTTAAGAAAATTAGAAACATAATGAAAAAAGATGCGAAGTAAAATGCACGTAATTCCTTTTTATTTATTTTGAATAAAAGACAGGCAATTTATCTAATCTCTTTGCCAATCATACGAAACCTCGTCATTGGCACTAGTCTACCCAAGTGAACTTCGCGTGCCCTGGGCGCGGCCGTGTTGCACCTTGCACAAGGGAATGAGTCGGCAGTAAAGCAGCCGGAGGCAACGCTACGGCGTTGGCCGCACCCTCGCCCCCCTGGCCCGCCTACACCACCCACCACCCAAGACGCAGCCCTGCCACTCGGACGGACTGACAGATCCCCAAAGGACACCTCGCCACAGTCTGCGCTCGGCGCCGTTGCGCAACGAGGCCACACACCGCCTCCACGACACCGTTAGGCTCTCCTTCATTTCACCCCAGAAACACTCGACGGGAGACATTTTTTATTAAAATTAGAGCAATCGACCTTATAAGATCATTATGTTAAAATAATAAAAATTTCCAAAATTATAATGGAAAATGCGGCATGTTTTCATTTACTTATATCTACCTAACATAAACTCGTCAAACATTTGTAAAATACGGAAAATTAATTTCCTAAAAGAAAAAAATACCATTAAAGTTCCTTTAAAAAATAAAAACAAACGGCGTCTATCCATTATCTTGGAAAGACGTGCGCAGAGTACAGAACAAAAGACTGGTGAATTAGAAATTTCGTTTTTCTCAATAGGAACCATAATTTATGTGTCATGGTGTTTGCTCCAAAGGTCATGTTTATACAGTGGATCTCACAATTGAAAGTACAAATACGTACGAAAAATGCTTTATTAAATGTAACATTAAATATTTTGTTACCTACAAATAAACGTTGCACAGAAATGAACATACACCATCAGAAGTTCACTTTGAAACAGAATTTTATAAACGCCGTTGAAATGTTTTTCTGGGCACAAAGTAGTGTGAAACAGATTATTCGATTGTCAGATTTGCGGAGAGCAAAATCGAATTAAAAATTGTTCCGAAAAGGAAAACGACTGTGGAAGAACGAAGACTTACTGTGAATGTAGCCATGAGGGAAAGATCACTACTAATGCGAAGACAGTAGGAAGATCTCATTCAAGGTACAGAAGACAATATCAAGTACGATGAGAGATTCATTACTAAAAGGGGTAGAGGCCGAAAATTGATGCTCAACGAAGGATTTAAAATAAATATTGACAATCACATCAACAGGAAACCTTGCAAAAATGGCGTTACAATGACTTCGTGGGAGTCTTTAACAACAGAGAGAACTGTATCTACAGAAACCGTTTCAAAGGCACTACGAGATGCAGGTTACAATGGAAGAGTAGCCAAGAAGGTGCCTTCGATTAGAAACAAAATCTACATAATAGACTGCAGATCGTGGAATATTACAGAAACCCCCTTCGGAGTTTTGGGAAACAGTGAATTTCAGTGATGACAGTTAATTCAAGATATTTGGATCAAAGTGGCAACAGTGCGTGTGGAAGAATGTTAACGCAATATTAGAAGATAAAGCACGACGGGGGCTCCTTTATGGTATAAGGCTGCATGTGCGTCATATGTCGGAAATCTCCGTTTTATTGATTTTATTGTTGACTAATGTGGATATTTATAAATTTTAATACGTAATTTCAAACGAAGTTGCAGCGAATCTGGGACAACGCGCCCATCCACCCAGTGCATATAATACACAAATATTTATTTCTTAATCTAATATATACTTTTATACATACATATATACATTTATACACATCAGTTGCCGTCTGGCTTAGTAAAAAATTCTTACTTCTATGAGTATTATACATATATACACATATTTTTTATAATACATAAATCTATTCATCTGAATCTGCCTCGAGATCTACGCAGGGACTCCAGCTTGTCGTCTGGTGTTTGCAATCTTTTCTGTTGATTCGTCAGCTAGCTTCCTGTGGCATGGGGTGAAGGAGGCGCCTCTGCGGACTCTGTCCGCGCTATCTGTTTGTACTCACCGGG